TACGGCCCTATGACTAAAAACAACTTGACAGCTCATCTCAAATGGCTGTTGCAGCAAGGTCCTGCACTCTACCCCTCTCTGGTTTCGTCCGAGCACGAGTATCAAAACAACACCACTAGTGCCCGGAGCGCTCTCCCACTCTCCCCGCTCACGACATTGCCTACCTCAACCGCCCAAATAGATGGCCCCTTCGCGATTGATGATTCGCAACCTACTCGCGGTATCGAAGATCAGACCAATTTCAACAATGATGGGGATATAGACTCCGAATCGGAAGAAATGGCACGGCTAGTACTTACTCCGGGGTCTGGGCGCAAACCGCGGATGCTCTGCCTCTCCAAGGATAGCCCCAGCCAGACCCCAAAGGCGTCCAAGCATCGTCTTGCGGCAGAGGCGACCGCTCAGGAGCCAACTACCGTGACCAAATCAACAAAAGGTGTGCGCTCAAGCCCGAACACTCCCTACCATAGTTACGCGCTACTCACGCTCACTAGCATCACAAAGTGTTCCTCCTTCCTCGGTCCGCAGTCCTAAGAAAACGTCCGTGACGCCTTTTCGCTCGAAACAAAAACTCGAAGTCCAATCGCCATTCTCTGATTTCGATGTGGATACGATTGATTTGACTGGAGATTTTGATCCAACCGCCTTCTCGTCGAGTACCACTGATGGCCTCGGCGAGCCTCAACAATTATGGACGGAAGAAGCAGCAGTTCGGAAAACCTCGCCCGAGAAACGTGGGAAGAAGCGGAACAGTGATGATTATATGTCTGATCTTCTCTCGCCGAGGAAACCTGCCCCGAAAGCGCGCTCGCCGTTGAAGGTTGCTCGAACCACTGAACGTCTTCAGCCTGCTCCCTCACCTTCACCGCGCAAGAGACTGCCACAGTCTGCTGTGGATAATTACCAGCGCACGCCTTCCCGAACCCTAAGTCAAGTGATTGCCGACTCAGACGAAGATGGTGACGACGATCTTTTCGATGACTGGGAAGCTAAGGATGACATGGGGTTGAATCCCGACGAGTCTCTGTACCCAATATTGCCAAAGGTTGACGCCCTGGATACTCATTCGCCTGAAACTATTGTTCGCAAGCCAATGCAAGCTGCGCCCATATCTGGGATGTCAGAGGCTGTTTCTTCGACCTCACGAGCTCTTGCTAGCTCACAGCAGCCGTCGCACATATCCGCAACCGTGGATTCATCACCATCTGTTTCTCTTGACAAGGACGTAGCCAGGTTTTTGTCTTCGTCTGCAGCTTCAATTGAAGGGATGATCGCGACATTCAAAGATACCCTCACGAAGAATTCTGAGATTGTATATGAGCGAGCAATGAAGGGAGAGCCTGCGCCGGAGTTGATTGTCCAGAACAAATCTCTTACTGAAAAGATCGAGGCCGTCGAAAGGCTGAGACAAGATAGGGCCGCCTACTTCTCATGCGATACCAAGAGGCAAGCCCTGAAAAAGACCTTGGTGCAGGCCATTTCACAAGGCGGCGATCCGCAGACAATGCCGGAACTTACAGAGAGTCGGCAATTGACTGCACAATTAGAGGAAATCGAATCCAATATGCGGCGTGTACTGCAAAGAACTGATATCTTATCATCTCTTGACTCGCTACACCACGGCACTTCTAAAATCGGTCTAGAACAGTCAACCTCATTTTCGCTTGCACCTCATGACACATCTTCTAATTTTAGAGACACTGTTCGACCAAATATCACAAAAGGTATTGAGGAGCCGTTTTCGAAGGATTCACTACGACCGACATCAGGCTATAATGACGCACGTTCCGAGATCTCTACGCGAGTATCAGACTTATCGTTCAAGAACCCAAACGCAACCTCCAGTCGCAGAACCTTCGACTATGACGATACGACCATGTTGTCGGACGAGGACACGTTCACGAGGACGATGGGATCTCCGACTGTTACCACGGGCATAATGGATGAATTCGATCTGGACGACGAAGACATGCTAGAGGCTGCAGAGTACTTTGAAGATCCCTCTACGAAATCGGCAAACCATCTTGAGCTCCAGAACCGTAAGGTCTTTGCTGAAACCTCAGGGAACGCCCCGCGTATTCCCGCAACGCAGAAGCAACAAAGCCAGAACACTCTGTGGACACAACATGCATGGACCAAAGATGTGAAGGCTGCATTAAGAGACCGCTTCGGACTTCAGGGATTCCGTCTTAATCAACTTGAGGCCATAGACGCAACCCTTGGCGGAAAAGATGTTTTTGTGCTAATGCCGACAGGAGGCGGCAAGTCTCTGTGTTATCAGTTGCCCTCTGTGGTTTCTAGCGGGATGACAAGAGGAGTTACCATCGTGATATCACCACTGCTGAGTTTGATGCAAGACCAAGTCTCCCACCTCAACAAGCTCAATATTAAGGCGTACGTTTTGAATGGCGAAACAAAGAAAGAAGAGCGCCAGCGGATTCTAGGCATATTATCTGATTTTAGGCCTGAGAAAGAGATTGAGTTGCTTTACATTACTCCAGAGATGGTTAACAAAAGCCAAGCCATTGTTCGCAGCCTAGAAAAGCTTCGCAACAACCACAAGCTTGCTCGCATTGTCATCGACGAGGCTCATTGTGTCAGTCAATGGGGGCATGACTTTCGTCCCGATTATAAGGAACTTGGAGAGCTCCGAACTCGCCTTCCTGGTGTACCAATGATGGCGCTGACAGCTACGGCGACCGAAAATGTCAAACTTGACGTTATCCACAACTTGAAGATGGAAGGCTGCGAAGTATTGATTCAGAGCTTCAACCGACCGAACTTGTCCTATGAAGTGCGGAAGAAGCAGAAGGGATCTGAACTCCTGGCCAGCGTGGCTGATATCATAAATAATTCATACCGTCACAAGTCGGGGATTGTCTATTGTCTTTCGCGCAAGACATGTGAAAGTGTCGCGAGCAAACTTCGCCAGGAATATCGTATCAAAGCTGCACATTATCACGCTGGCATGAGCTCCGAAGATCGCGCAGAAATCCAGCAAGCCTGGCAAGCTGGGAGGACTCACGTCATAGTCGCAACCATCGCTTTTGGAATGGGAATCGATAAACCCGATGTACGCTTCGTGATCCATCATAGCATTCCAAAGAGCTTGGAAGGCTACTATCAAGAGACAGGACGCGCTGGTCGAGATGGTAAGCGTTCTGGGTGCTACTTGTTCTATACCTACAAAGATACAACAACTTTGTTTCGCATGATCGACAGTAGTGATGGAAGCAAGGAACAAAAGGACAGACAACGCCTCATGCTGCGCATGGTCGTACAGTATTGCGAAAACCAGACTGATTGCCGACGAGTGCAAATTCTCGGCTACTTCAATGAGAAGTTTCGTCGACAAGATTGCAATGCTTCTTGTGACAATTGCAAATCTGATTCGGTTACCGAACTTCATGATTTCTCAGACCACGCTGCCTCTGTGATCAAACTCGTTCGCTACTTCCAAAACTTGGAAGACAAGGTTACTATGTCATACTGCGAGAACATGTTCCGAGGGACAGTTAAGAAGTTCAGGTCACCTCAGCACCGTAATGCCCCAGGCTATGGCGACGGCAAAGGTGTAGCAGTGGGAGAAGTTGAACGATTGTTCTACACTCTTCTCAGAGAAGGGGCTTTGAGAGAGGACAATGTCATCAATGGCAGCAAATTTGTGATCCAGTACATCAAGCTGGGATCGCGTGCAACTGACTACGAAAGTGGTCGCGTCAAGTTGAAACTTGACGTCCGCGTCTCACCAAGTGGGAAGGGTCGACGGCCCACACGGTCTTCTCGAACCGATGGCAGCAAGGACATCGTACCGCAATCTACGAACGTCTCGTCACCTGTACAGGCCGCAAATCAGCGCCGGCTCGCGCGTTTCCGATACCAAGGGACTGGTGATGATTCTACTGATGATGCAGATAGTGACGGATTCGAGCAGATTCGCGTCGCTGGTAGACCCCGTCCAGACAATAAGCGCACTCCCGGCCCACCTATCACTCAAGACCGCCGTTTCGATCAGCTTGATCCTCTTCACAAGGCGGTAGCTGAGGACTTCATGGTCTATGCGAAGAATTACTGCCAAGACGTAAGAATCTGTACATTCCAAAGAGCAAAATCCAGGGCAACCACTGACAAAATGAAAAGTTGGTTCTTCAAAAAGGCCTACGCAATCAGCCGTTTACTGATACCATCTTGCGCGAGATGGTCATCGTTTTTCCTAAAGGTAATATTGGTTCATATTATGACTGTGATTGGCGCTGATCCATGATTAGATCTTTCGGAACTTGCTGCAATCCCGGGCATTGATCCTGATAAAGTCATCCGCTACGGCTCTCAACTACTTAAACTTGTTAGGGACACGCAGCGTCGCTACGAGGAGTTAAGAAAAGAGCGTGATGATGCCGATGGCGTCGTACCCGATCCTAACCATCACAATGTTATCTACCTCAACAGCAGTGAGGACGAGGATGAGTTTAGTGATGGGGGGTTTCTGGCAGACCACGCGTCCAACTTTGATATGAACGAGAGTGTTGTTTCCAGCAGGTTCTTCTCGTCGCAGCAAGGGCCGCATGCTACCGAAGAAGCTCGAAACGGTGGCGAAGGGTCAGGCAAGGGCAAACCCCGGAAACGCCAGACAAGCAAACGTCCACGTCGCTATAACACAGGAGCAAAAGCGAAACCGAAAACAGCAGGGGCTCGCAGGAAATCCAATGACCGTGCTGATAACCGCCCCTCTTCAACCTCAGCCCGAAAACCTGCCAAGCCGAAGGCAGCGACGAGTCGGATTGGGATGATGCCTGTCTGAGATACCTCTTTGCGTGCATCTGAGATATAGCGATTAATGACATGTTTACGATATATCAGCGTTTGCGATTGTGGTTTCATTGCGACTATTGCATGTATAGGCGTTACATTCGGGTGTCTCATGAGTATTGATAAGGATAGTGTGATAGGCGCACATGGCCCTTCTATGTTATAGCGCTATATAGAGCCTGCATGATAGTGTTGACGCGACTGGGAATGAACAGCGAGATGATATTATAGTGTGCGCCCAAAATCAATTAATCTCAACCTTCGCGCATCGCGCGGGTGGAACTGTGCCACTTTGGCTCGTACTAGAAATCTGGAAGCTGCGGATTCTCGAACGTTCACATACGAGGGGCTTGCTTCCAGCAACTCATCCAGCAGATTGCGCATCTCGACTGCCGCCGCCTCCCTTCGATTTGAAGTCCTTCCTTGCTCGTTCTGTCGAGGTAGAATCTCATCGATGCGTCGTTGGCTGGTACCTGACTCAGTTGTTTCGGCCTGTACCTTCGGCTTCTTCGGCTTGCCATGGCTAGTATAGCCCAGTTCCAATGCAGTGTCTGAGACATCTTGTGCATCGCCTACAGTCGGTCCGCCGAGGGATTCTGCTGCAAGCATCGACGCAAGAGACCGATCAATGAATTCGTAGAGTTTTGTCTTTGTCTCTTCTGTTGCCTTGTCATACTCGTCGTTTTCCCGTTGCTTCTGCTCCACGAGCTCCCGTGCTAGTTGAGCGCTAGCCTTCTCCTCCCTCGTCGCGTTTTGACTCGCTACAGTTTGAATCCGTCGCTGCAGACCGGCTTGGATGGCTTGCGCATCGCGCAGGTTCGCCTCCTCTGTCTTCGACCGCTGACGCGTGTTGGAGAGATTCTTGCCCGTTTCCGAGGCGGCGATCTTAGTCTCCTTCACCAGACGGGATGTCTCCTCGACGGCCAGCAACGACGGCAGCGGAGAACCGAGCGGTGGAAACTCCGTCTCCGATTTGAGGAGGGAGTCATACGCTTTTTTGGCCCGGCGCACCTGAGACACTCGGGCCCAGGTGCTGGTACCGATTCTGGAGAGATCGATTGAGTTGATCGCGCGTAGCTGGGGCCGCGTGTTAGCTGACGGTGTCTCTGGTCTCTGTATGTATTGCATTGGTCATGATACGCACCTTGCGCAATTCATCTTCTTGACGCTTTACTTGTTCTTGTAGCTCTCTGAGAGTGTCATCCAGTCTTTTGTTGTATGCCTGGATGTTGGCTGGGCTCAGCGGCTGTGTGGCATGGCTCTCTTCTGTTTGTTGGCGCTTCTCTGCGAAGCGCTGGATTTTATCGACTCTTTCCTGGGGGATGTCCATGGCGGTGGGTGATTACAGTGCAGGTTGGGGTAGATTCGACGTCGTTCGCGATTAATTTTCTGAAGTGATTTAGAGCTCAACTGCAGTGACTAGTCTTGTATCTGGCAGTGTGTGAAGTATTGTGACCTGTCAATGCACTTGATATACAATGGGATAGCAGTAGTTGTTGATGGCTTAACACGTGACAGCAGAAGAAGGGCGGCTTGACTGCAAATGGACTAGCGTGTCTCGTGCCAACAGCTCGCCTCACCAAGTCCCGCAACCTCATCTCTTCACCGCGACATCAAACACCCCCCCCCCCGTTCCCACTTCGCCCATCGACTTCCCCTTATCACATCCCTTTCACATCCGTATCTTTATCTACAACCGCGAGATTCGACCGGCTATTCTCGACTGCCTCAGCTTTTCGAGTCTATCCCTCGTCCATCCTCCTGCGCTAGACACTCCCCCCGGCAGGTGATTGGGTAACCGACGTGCTGTACGTACATACAGCCTGTGCATCTGAGCAGGTCGCGTTTTCTGGCAGGAAAACAAGGAGAAATTGGGACTTTGGGAATTGTTTCAGGCTTCAATCTTGCTTTCATTTCTTCCCTTTCCCTCCCCCACCGTCATCCACCCTCCAGCATCTCAAATCGCCCGGACCCTGAACACACCTTCGTCTCCGTCCAGCATTCAACACCTCTTGCTTCGTTCCATCGTGCCCGATTCGATTGGTTTCTTTTCCTTACTTCCTCTACCTTGCCACTACCTCGCTCTGGTGAAGCTTTTCTGCTCCAAACCAAGGCCCGTGACAATCCAGCATCCTTCCACACTTTCCTCCGTCGACCTCTCCTTTCCAACCTCACTTGCCCGCCATATCCACACCAGTCCTCCCAGTCATCCCAAGCACCAGAATTCCCTCTTCACCCGATCGCCAGCACCAGCAAGTTTTATTGGGAACTCCTGGTGTACATAGTCGATCACATAAAGCAGAAGACAGAAAACAAAAGAAAAAAAAAACCAAGAGAGCTATTCTTGACACTTCGACTTCCTGTGTAAGTGAAGCAAGACTGCAAAGCTTTGGCATACAGAAATCATGTCTGCCTCTCCATCCGCGTTGCAATCGACCAAGCGTCCCTTGGAAGACCCTTCCTCGCCGTCGGGTCCCAATGATCAGCCCGAGGCCAAGCGTCCGGCTTTGGACAAAGTAGTAAAGGGCGAGGAGGCTGAGGCGTATACCGAGGTGAAGACGGACGCTGCAGCGGCTGCCAGCGCCAGCGCTGATGGTCAAGGAGACACCGTGGTTCCTGATGCTCCGAACGCCAAGGGGGCTTCTTCGGAGACGCAGCCTATCCAGTCGACTGCCTCTCACGGAGAGTCGGCAACTGCCCAGTCTGAGCAGCGCCCTCAGGACGAGTCTAGCTGGATCCACATCCGTGCTGTAATCTCCAGCCAGGAGGCTGCGACCGTCATCGGTAAAGGTGGTGAGAATGTATCCCAAATCCGTCGTCTGTCGGGAGCCAAGTGCACTGTCAGCGATTACTCCCGGGGTGCAGTGGAGCGTATCTTGACTGTCAGCGGCCCCCAGGATGCTGCTGCTAAGGTTGGTGGACATTGTATACCCCATAAATTGGTTGTTGGTTCGAAGATGCTAACTTTGACGCTAGGCATTCGGTTTGATCATCCGTACCTTGAACAACGAGCCCCTTGATGCCCCTTCAACTGCCCAATCCAAGACGTACCCCTTGCGTTTGCTAATCCCTCATATCCTCATTGGCTCGATCATTGGCAAGGGTGGTAGCCGTATCCGCGAGATCCAGGAGGCTTCGGGCGCACGTCTCAACGCTTCGGATGCCTGCCTTCCCTTGTCGACCGAGCGGTCCCTTGTAATCCTTGGTGTCGCGGACGCTGTGCACATCGCTACCTATTACGTTGCCGTGACCCTGGTTGAGCAGCTGACTGAACGCTTCGGCGGACCGGCAGCCTCTGCTTACGCTACTCGCAGTGGTGGGCCCGCTGGAGCCGTGCCTGGAGGGATGCAGGTTGTCCCCTATGTGCCTCAACCCGCTGGCGGCCAATACGGTCACCCCGACACGTTCAAGCGCCATCACCCTCACCCCAACCGCGGCGCGGCCGGCAGCTACGGCGTCCCCTACCTCCACGGCCAAGCTGCACCCACTCCTGTCGCCCAGCCCAACATGCCCTACGGCGCAACTCCCCACACCCCGTACTCCGGCGCCGGCCCGCACCAGCCCGCGGCCTACGGCGGTCCGCAGGCTGCACAGCCCCGTGCTGGCGGCGCCGGCGGTCCTGCCCCGGTTGCCCCTGCCGGCGGCGTCATGCCCGGTCAGCCACTGACTCAACAGATCTACATCCCCAACGACATGGTGGGCGCGATTATCGGCAAGGGCGGAGCTAAGATCAACGAAATCCGACACCTGAGTGGCAGTGTGATCAAGATCAACGAGCCCCAAGAGAACAGCAACGAGCGCCTAGTCACTATCACGGGTACTCAGGAGTGCAACCAGATGGCATTGTACATGCTCTACTCCAGACTCGGTTAGTCTTTTGCTTCGTGTTTTCATCTGATATCTCATCCACTAACCAGCCACCGCAAATCCAGAGAGCGAAAAGCATCGTATCTAAACGGGTAGTATGAAGTTCCGCTTTGTTTATTTTCCACACACTTTGGGGGTTCTTTTTTTTTCTTTTCTGACTTGACCACTAAAAACCATCCCGTCCGTCTGGTCTTTTGCTACTCATTTCACAAACTAATGGGCATCTTCTGTGTCTTCGTTCCGGGTTTTCTTTATTATCCCACTCCCGTGGCTGCTTGTATTGTACTTATTGCTGTGTGACCCAAAGAAAAAGGAAGCAGCTTGAATTCTGACCTTAATTTTTCTGGCAACGTCGTCATCATCATCATCATCACCATCACTTCCAACCATACATCCCTAATTATCAACCATACAATCCTTAGAAACCAACCCCAACACAACCCAATAAACCCTTGTGATTACCTAGTTTGCACTGCACCTTGCTAACCTACTAATCTCCATCCATCCAACCCTTTCACCCTCAACACTCAATTCAATCAAACCCCCCTAAACCCAAAATGCTTCAACCCGCCCAACCCCCGCACCGGCGCCAACAGCCGTCCCCGGACCTTCCCGATCGCATCCTGGAACGCCTCCGTCTCCTTGCCAGCCAGATGCACCTCGACGCTCGCCCAGCCAGCCGCGACGACCACCACGAACGCCTCGCCCGTCTCGCTCTGCTCGTGCGTCATCGTCCCCGGCCGCTCCACCTGGCCCACCGCAAAGGACACCGCCCGCTTGCCGTCGGGCAGGTGCTCGGTGACGGCGGCGCGCAGGCCGACCAGGTCGGCGTGCACGGCGTTGATTTCCTCGGGCGTGAGGGAGGTGGGGAAGGCGGGGGTCCAGAGCTCGGTGACCGGGTTGCTGCGCAGGGTTGCTGTGGTGGTTGGGTTTTTGTTCTTGTTGGCATCATCATCAGGGGAGGAAGGGGAAGAGGAGGTGGTGGCAGGGGCCAGGGTGGCGAAGATGGTGGTGATTTCGGGGTGGTCCTCTGGTAGGAAGGGGTGTAGCGTGGTGGTTGGGTTTGCGCCGGTGTGGGCGTCTGTCCAGTCTGGTGGGCCTTAGTGTATTGTCAGGGTGAGGTGGGTGGCTGGAGGGAGGGAGGGAGTTGAGGTGGTGGTGAGGGTTGGTGGAGGGATGGGAGATAGGCAGGTAGGTGTGTAGTAGTGCTGTAGATACGGCACCAAGGTCGGTTGGCTTGGTCGGAGACACAGGGCGTGAACTGAACTGAACTAACCAATCGCCCACACGATCAAACTCTCGTCCTCGACGGCCCGCCCCCAGACGGACCCCTTGTACCCGTTCTGGTGCTTGGTGTTCTGGAAGACCTGTAGCAGGGCGGCGCCCTCGTCGCTGTGGGCGGGGTCCTCGGGTCGGACGCCGTCCTTGACGTGGAAGTAGATGAACTCCGTCACGCTTTGTTCCGACATCTTGTGTGCACGGCTATCAGATGATCAAGGGGGTGATGTAGAGGTTCGTGCCTGTATAGCAAGCTGGATGGTGGCCTGCTGACAGGAAGGGGACGAGTATCACAAATACTGCGTAGAGTGGTAGACTAAGGCTTATCGATGGTGTTCCATGTTGATGTCACCCCAACCTTGGGTGGGATGATGTCAGTGGGGGACCGACGCACTATGGAAACTTGGTGCCTCAGGTTCTCCACTATCAGACCACTCTACTCCGTACATCATACGCATTCCCATCCCCAGCACACCGTACACCAACCTGGGCAGCCCTGCCTGATTACTATATCCAAAACAATCATGAATATCTGAATGGAAGCATTCTCGTACAAGCACGTGCAAGCATTACAATCGAGACCTATGTACAGTGGAGACAGATGGGACGCGCTACCTAACATTCACATTTGCCTGTGTAGGACAACAACAAAAACAAAGGAAAAGACAAACCCCGCCAGAAAAGACCCGCTGTTTTTTTCTCCGACATGACTTTCATAGTAAGTAGCCATCAGCAGAATTGTCCCAAGACACAAGCAAGAAAAGGAAACAAAACACTAGTTTTACAAATCATTCACCGTCCGGACTCGAGACTTCTTCGCCCCAATGGCGCTCCGCAGACTCTCGACAATCTGCTGTTTGCGTTGCACCTTGGCCTTCCATTGCGCCGTTTCCTCTGAGCTGACCAGGTCCTGGACTGCCTCCACATTGCGGAGTCGACTAGCCCGAGCTGACCCGTTGATGCTGGATCGGAAGCTGATGGCTCGGCTAGCCGAGTCGGGAGTGTGGTATGGCCCATCAACTGAGCCACGGGATCCGGGCGTAGTGGGGAATCGGCCGGTGCTCTTCCTCGGCGTCGCGAATGGGGACCCTTCCCGGCTGGCCGCAGGAGCGGTTGTGTCGATGCCCAGTCTCTTAAGCTGAGCCTCCAGGACATCGATATCGGTGCGCTTGGTCTCGGCCATCTCCATCATCTTCTGGATCGTAGTGGTGACGGCCTCAACAGTGGGACGTCTTGTCGCTTGGCGAGATCCACCAGGAGGGGGAACGTCGGCAATCTTGGCGCGGAGAAGAGTCACGGCAGATTCCAAATCAGCTAGCTTCGCCTGAATCTCGGTGGATGCCGACCGCAGGTCTTGCTGCAGGTTGGCGTGCTCTGCGGAAAGAGGTGCGAAGTGCATTGTGGTTGTGTCGGTGTGAGCATCGAGAGTCTTGCGGATACTGGCACATTGACCCCGAAGAGTGATAATGTCTTTACTCAAAAGCTCCCGACAACTCTCGAGCTTCTCTTCCACACCCTGCACGCGCTGCTGCTCAAGAGAAGCAGCAAGCATGACGACAGCGTCATCGAATCTCTCAATCTCAGACAGAACCAATTCTTTGTCCAGGATATCGGAGGCATTGTCCTCCTTGAGCGTGTCGACCCACTGAGGATCTTTGGACGTTTTTTGATAGAGAAGGAAAGAAGACAACGAACGAACATTAATGCCCAAGGTGTCCACCATAGAGTTGATATCACGGTACAGCCGTTCGATTTGGCCAGGAATACCAGGTTTACTCGTCTCGCCAGCATAGTCTTGGTGAGGCAAGAAAGGATCAAGAGTAGGAACAGGTTCCAGAGGCAGTGCAAGATCCGCACGGAGTCTCTCATCCTCATCGTCGTCGGAAAGGGCTTGTGCCTCCTCTTCCAACTGTCTCGCGCGAATCTCCTGTTGCGAGGGTTCCCTCCGAGAAGGCTTCGGCTTCAGTTGGCTCTCGCGTCTTTGGTGTTCAGAAAGAGAGGCTTTTCTTGCAGTGAGAGCGCTGCCCGGACTTTGAGGAGCGCCGAAAGTCTTCTTCCCGTCGCCCTTGAAGAGGCTCTTTGGCGCGGCTCCTCGTACTGGACTGGGCGATCTCGGGAGCTCTCGGTTCTGGAGTGCAGGGAATGTCGGATTGCCCCTGTCACCGAACAACGACCTTGAAGGTTGTGGTTGGGGTGCTGCGGCAGGCTTGGAAGCAGGGGAGAACAGGCCGCCTGCGAGGTTCGCACCGGGCTTGAAATGTCCGGGGAATGCCTTAGGACTTGGCTCATTGGACTCAGACTGGCTGATGTCGTGTGTGATATCCTCTCCGCTGTCAGCAAAGTCTGACTCTTCCCCTTCCTCACTCTCGCCCTCTTCAGAAGCGTCCTCCTCGCCTTCGTAATCATCGCCATCAGACTCGTCTGGAACTGGTGCAACGTCCTCGGATTCTTTACGTGGCTTAGGGATGCTGAAGTCCGGGGGCAATGGAGCCTCTTCGGGTTCTGCCTCTTCTTCATCGTCTGTCTTCTTGCCATTCTTAAAAGTCGTGAAGTCTGGCGGCAAGGGTGCGTCTTCTGCAGGTCCCTTAGCAGCGGGTTTGTTTGAGGTGAAATCTGGTGGTAGAGACGCGTCATCGATAGAACTCTTGGAGACGTTCGACGAGGCAGACGTATCACCGGGCCCGTATGATGCCTTGCTAACAGGGTCTGGTGGTAAGGGTGCGCCCTGTGGTGTAGCGCTAGGCGTACGGGCGTCGTCCTCTTTTGATGAAGTGGTGCTGTCCGCGGGTGTTGAAAAGGAAGCTAACGGTGACTTGGCAGGAGTCGTATTACCGAACAGCGAGAATCCAGGCTTGCTAGCTTGTTGACCGAAGGGATTCGAGACCGGCTTCTGAGAACCAAAGGTCGACGTGGGTGCAGAATTTGTTGTCGTCGAAGGTGCGCCAAACAACGATTTCGGCGCGGAATTTGGGGCCGCCGAGGGTGCACCAAACAACGATTTCGGTGCGGAATTCGTAGCCGTCGATGGTGCGCCAAACAACGATTTTGGTGTGGAAGTTGGGGTCGCCGAGGGTGCACCGAACAAGGATGGGGTAGCCTCCTTGGGCTCGGATTTCTGTTGCGGAGTGGCGCTCTCGTCTTCCATGTCGTCCATCTCCTCAGTTGGCGGGCTGGTCTTGTTGCTGGACGACATCATGTCATCCATTGACTCACTGAAGCCGAACAATCCAGAAGGCTTATCTGGCTTGGGAAGATCATTGGCAGCACTGCCATCCGGCTTAAATGTCGATCCAAGCACGAAAGGACTAGAGCTCTGCCCGAAAGTACCTGGCGACCCGATCGTCTTCTCAGCGGTGAACACGGACTCTGTGCTAATTTGTGCGCCAAAGGGAGATGTGCCAAAGGTCGATGTGCCGGATATCTTAGCGAACGGACTTTCAGTGGACGTTTGCGTAGTGGAGGTTTGCGCAAATGGTGATCCGCCCGCTGGCTTTGCCGACGCGAAAGCACTGAACCCACCTGTGCCAGCTTTGTTGGCAAATGCTCCGAAGCCACCTCCGGAGCCGGAACCTGACTGTGCAAACCCAAGCGAGCTGAGTCCCTTTCCAGGCGTAGATGGTTGACCGAAGGATCCAGACCCTCCTCCCAGCGAGGCGAAGCCAGATGACCCAAACCCAGGCTCGTTCTTTGCCAATGCGGCGAGACCACCCTGGGGCTTATTGCCTCCCAGCACGCTATTCGTGCCGAATGAAGGCCCGGGCTGTGACGGTGATGCGAAAGATGGCGCACCGAAAGAGGACTGTTGAGGAGCGGCTTGAGCAGATGGGCTCCCGAAACCCGGGGCAGTGGAACTGCCAAATGCAGATGATCCCAGAGCCGATGAGCCACCAAAACCTGATTGTCCAAAAGGTGAAGCTTGAGGCTGAGAAGCTTGCGGCGTTGGCTGAGCTGGCGCCTGCGTCTGATCCGCCATACCCTGGTAAGGTACCTTCTGTCGAATTGCGTCCGAATATAAGAACCACCAAGAGCAAAGAATACCCTCGTTGTTGAGTAGCAGCACATTCGGCAGTGGAGTAGAGCTCTCAGCGATGTCTTCGCCTGGGATGGGGGCAACAACAACTTCCTTGCTAGAGAGATCAATACCGAAACCGATAACTGTGGTTTCATCAGTAGATTCCTTGAGTGGCACAGTTGCTCTTTTTGTATCATCTGACACTTCAGTGGTGACAAAGAGTCCAGTGGTGTCCATATCCATCTTGACCAATGGCTGGTCTGCTCTGGTAATGAGGCCCACATCGGTGGATGCCGTTGAAGACACAATGAGGACATCCTTCAAGTGCGGCTTGTAGTCACGCAAGCGTCCAATGAACTGAAAGGCCGGGGTGCGCTTGACTCCAAAGGGCATGCACAACTCAGGCAATTTCTGAATCAAGAAAGGCGCTTGTTTCCGTCGTGTGATGATATAGTATGACGAAGGAGGGTTCTGGCCCATGTCATCCTCTGGTGCGTTTGGCGTGTATACCACAAGGAAGATATCGTTCTCCAACCAAGCAATGGACGAAACTGTACGTGATTAGACAGACAACAAAGGTTTCCTGCTCAATGGTACCACATACCGTGACAATCACCCTCAAGATCAGGGGGGCGCGGGATCACATCCTTTTGCGTGCCATCCGGAGTCATCTGGAAGCCCGTGCAATCTGCAAGCCCGGCCACAAGCTGTTTGCCCTTGTTACTCCAACAGACCGAGCTGACTCCGCTCTTCAGCACTTGACCGTTCGGGCCCGAGACCAAGTTGCCCGCTTTCAAGTCCGCTACCAAAAGATCACCGCCCGTCGTCACCAGCGCAACAAGGGACGAGAGTTCCGGCGCCGGGTTAGCCGCAATGGTGCGGAAGGTGGTTCCATTGGTAGGAATCGACAACGCTGGCTGTGCATTCCCCGACGTCAAGCTCGAGGTGTCAAACACTGACAGTTGCGCGCCATTCTCCGTGGCCAGCAGAAGGGCGGTGTCGTTCGAGGCAAAGGTGACATGTGTGGGACGTGCAGGGAGGGGGATGGTCGCTTGCGGCTGGAAAGGCTTGATTTTGACCTTGCCCTCGGTGGGTGCGGATATGGCGGCTCGGACGGAGTCCGAAGAGGCGACGGAGAGGACGTTGGGTCCAGCAGCAACAATTATGCCTTTGGTCGGTGCAACGGCCAGGAGCGAACATGTAGGGGCTGGGAGAGCGTTTTCGGGCCATGGGGTGGGCAGAATCTGGACGTTGCAATCGCCCTCGACGCCTTTGAAGCCGACGTCCTAGAGACAGCATAGCAGAAGTTAGAAGGGTACTGATGTGAATGAGGAAGCAATTGCAAGGGGACCTACCTCAGCAGTACCCTCCGGAAGCTCGGGCCCCAGCTCGGGGGGAGCACTACCCCCGGCGGGGTTCGATGCTCCAAAGTTGAAAGCCATTCTATATCGGTTGTACTCGTTCGAAAGAGCACGCGGGTGATCGCCTAGTGAGAGTCGCTTGAAAGCATGAGTGGAGGAAGGACTCTGCGGTGAAGCTGAAAAGGAGCGGCGCTGGAGTTGGAGTTGGAGGACTCCGGATGAAGAGCTTCCAAGTGCGCGCGAAAATCGTGGTCACCTCCCCTCGGTGAAAGATGTGGAAAGAAAACAAGTGCCACAGATCGATGGAGTAGAGACCCTCAAGTCCCAGACAAGGGGGTACAGTTTCAAGTCAGAGATAACACGGGCGAAGGACAGGGAAGCGCCGCGTGGGAAACAAACAGATAGTAGTAAAGTAAGTAAGGATTAAAGGTGCTGTTTCCAAAGGCCTCCCAGACAAAAACAGCGGCGGGCGGAATTGCAAGGGTTCGAGAGCGAAAGCGCGCCACACCGCCTTTCTGCCTGAGGCGGTCAAGATCAGGCGCCCGGAGCTTCGTCACTCCCAGCTCCGTCTCCAGCGGTAGGCCGTAGTTGAAGCTTAAGCAACGGAACTGAACCTCTCTCTACTTGATACATCAGCCTACCCTCCTCCTGACACCCTCTATCATCTTCGAGCTCCTGCAATACTGACGACCGTGCCTTTGTCCCCAACACTAAACTAACCATATTCACCTTCACGCCGTCACCATGACCGGCTTCGATTTCTCCAACTACAACCGTAACGCGGCTCTTCACGCCAAGGGCGTGCCTCTCCCCAAGGCCACCAGCACAGGTACCACGATTGTGGGTTGTATATATGACAATGGTGTTGTGGTACGTCTTCCCCCCTCATGATACACGATCTCAGCTCTCCGATGGATAGGCGGACACGAAGCTAAAGTCTACGGTTGTGGTGATTACAGATTGCGGCAGATACCAGAGCTACCAGCGGACCGATAGTAGCAGACAAGGTAAAGAGCCTCGCCGCCTACACACGTCCCTATCGAAACCCATTCACCTTCAATTCCACCACCAAACCACAATCACAAACGAAAGACACTTTGATTAGGCTAATAACGGTTGTTGCGGGAGGAATAGAACTGCGAGAAGCTACACTACATCGCGCCCAAGATCTGGTGTGCGGGCGCGGGTACGGCGGCGGACACGGAGTTCACGACCGCGCTGATCAGCTCGAACGTGGAGCTGCACTCGCTGTCCACGGGCCGGCCGCCGCGGGTGATCACCTGCATGACGATGTTGAAGCAGCACCTGTTCCGGTACCAGGGCCACATCGGGGCGTACCTGGTGGTGGCGGGCGTGGACCCCACGGGCATCGGGCTCTTCACGGTGCACGCGCACGGCTCGACGGACAAGCTGCCGTACGTGACCATGGGCTCCGGCTCGCTGGCCGCCATGTCCGTGTTCGAGTCGATGTGGAAGCCCCAGCTGGACCGCGACGGCGCCGTCGCCCTCTGCGCCGAGGCCATCAAGGCCGGTATCTTCAACGATCTCGGCTCCGGAAGCAACGTCGACGTCTGCGTCATCGAGAAGGACCAGCCCACCCAGCTGCTGCGCAACTACATCAAGCCCAACGAGCGCGGCCAGAAGGAGCGCAACTACCGCTTCCCCCGCGGCACCACCGCCTACCTCAACCAGAAGGTCATCAGCAAGGAGGATATGCGGAAGTATGTCACCGTCGAGGAGGCCTCTGGGGACCCCAACCTGATGGAGGTGGACATCTAGACAGACCCGTCTCAGCCGGGGTGGCGGTCGGCTAGGTGGTGGAGTTGAAAGCGCTATCTAATTCCTTTTTTTTTTTGGAGAGGGGCGCAGAATCATGTCTTTTAATTCTGTATCCGAGAGTCACGCACGAATAAAGCTTTTCATGGATGATATAAAAATGGGCTGCAGTGAGCCATTAAATGCTGCCAATTCTATGCTATGGAAAGGAGTCTGAAAGGGTATCCATGTACAACCAGGGGTATAATAAGTCATGTAGGGAACGTAGAACATCTTGACAAAGCGATACAGAATAACAGGTCCGAAATGCCTTGAACCACAAGTCTCTGGCAATGCGGGATAATATCTCGAGTTCATGTAAACCCAACTCGAAGGTAGATATTAGTTCCCAGTAACCTGGTCACTTCCTTCGTCCCTCCACACGAAATTCGGATTTCCCAACGCTCTCACAACCTCCGGCGACTCGACCTCTTGTACCTTGCGCATGATGTACTTGAACTGCGTCTCACAGAACATGCCCCTCATCTGTCGAGCGCGCACGACGCCAGCATGATACATAGCGCGGACAATGACCGGTTGCACAGGTGCTTGATGCCTTACTAAGTAGACGTACAGCCACTGAACCAATCGATAGGATTGCCGCGGGGTGAGATGCTGCGAGCATGACAGAGCCACAGCAACAGTGTTTATCATATTGAGCGCAGCGTGAGGGTCGGGGTATTTTCTCTTGTCTCGAGGCTCGTAGACCAAGAGCGCATGTTGGGAAGGATCGGGAGGCGGCTGCCATGCTTTCGCCAGTGCGATCTTGAGGGGAACATGCCAGTCGAAGATCCGAAACAAAAGTTGGACCTCTGACCGGTTCCCCGTTCTGGCCAGTTCTAAGGCACGCTCCATGAAAAACGGTGATTCGATGTCTATCTCCTGCGCTATCTTCAATATGGCGGGTGCGAACTGAAGAAGAAGGGTGTACGGCGTTTCACTGTCTCGAAACAGATCGCTGAAAGAGACTTTCGACGTCTCCAAAGCTTTCAAAGCCGCCCTAGTGGTTTTGTTGAGGGCATTTTTGGTCCGGTATGAAAGAGCCAAGATTGTGAGCCCGTTGGCAGGCAGCTCCAACTCACGCGCGTCATCTAGAAGACTGCTCACGAGGTCTTTCTTCTTATAGTTCGTTCGGAAAGCCTGGTAGAGGCTGAGCATTCGTGCCCCCCCTTTCTCAATCGGGAGTGCAGGTGCATTATGTAGAAGATGCCTTGTCCCTATCATGTAAGGCTTTTTATCCTGAGTTGGGCCCGCTGCATGACTCAAGTTCAGAGCACGGAAGACCCAAAGGCGCAGAAGAAAACGTTGTTGAACTGACAGCCCAGAATGACTCGATGTTGCTGGAATTTGCGATCGTGCGTCGACCCACGCCTCTGCCTTAGGGATGTCTCTGACCGTGGGGACTGAAGTCAGACAGTCATGCCACCTGGACAACAGATGCTGCTTCTGAGCCAGAACTAAATACTCTGTAACCGATATGATAGTTGCACCTACTGCATTGAAGTGAAGCCTGTGGAAGAGTAAAGTTGTAAAGGAAGGATCGATCTCATCCCGGAGCTCGTCCGGAAGTTCAAGCCAGCGGATGATGAACCGTGGGCCCCAGAAGGCACAGGTGGATCGAAGATGCCGAGCATGAGCGAGAATCCTGTGTGCCAGCCTCAACTCAGCAAGTACATTCCGCTCCCAGATGATTTCAAGCCATAGATTGGCTGTGTCCTCGTCCAAATTCTCGTATTTACCGCCCTGGGCTGTAGAATCAAGAACATCGCAGATTTTCTGGTATGCTTCCATCACGCCGCTTGGGCCATTGTGTTGTGTCTCGGCTGTCGGCCAATCCGTCGTGGCGACCACCACATCGGACAACTTCTGCAAGGTCCCGATGACCTGCAGAAGCTCAGATGGAACTATCGCACCGACTCTGATAGCCCTGAGAATGCTCGCAAACAATACAGCACGCTCTTGTGAGTCTGTCGCGGCTTGAACAAGGTACTTTGTAACAACTGGGAAATTCCCGGCTCCTGGAGTATTGAGTGTTCGATGATCCAGAAACAGAGACAGCTCCTGGGCGTTTGATTCGCCCAGCGCAAACCGCGAAAAGTAATGATTGAATATTATGCGACTGTAGCCCGGCTCATGCTGAAGGTTGATATCCATCGCATTTATCAAACTCGTGACCTCCTCGAGTGACGGGCAGGTTTCCAAACGCGTCCTCAAAATGTCTTTGAATGGGAGGAGTTCGCTATCATCTGCCGATTCTGATAGGCCGTTTAACTCAACGAATCCGGTTTGATCAGTGACCACAGCGTCGCGCGGGGAAAGCGAAGCATCTGAGAAGCGGGCTAGCTCAATAAGCAAACCGTTCGGATCAATTAAATGTGAAAGATCCCGCTTGGACCACTTTGGGAGAGACGCCGAAGAGCCAACGGGGTCCACGAATCCGCTGGAACCGACCACATCACTGTGAGGGTGTGAAGACGCAGGATCCGCTAGCATGTCAACATAAGTGCTTGGCTTATACACCTCGCCGCTATGTGATTGAGGAGAAGAGGCATCAAACGACTCAGCCAGGTCAACGAATCCACCAAGATCAGAATCCTCAACATCACACCCTGAAGAACCAGGCTCAGACTCCGCCAAGCTAGTCAGATTCACGAATCCGCCCTTTTCATCCAAGTTGCCGTCGGGTAGTGAAGGAGGGGGAGGAGGAGGAACAGCTTCTGATAAGCTGCCCAAGTCGACAAACCCGCCCGGATCTATCGTCTCACTTTCGACTGACAGAGGCGCAATTGGAGCGCGCGGCGGGTGTGAATCGTAGTGCGAGAGCCCTGGTTGAAGTCCGTGACCACCTGTCCTCGTTATAGCAGCACGAGTAGGCTCCATCTGACCGAGTTCGACCGAGTGGGTGGCATCATTGGGAGAAGATAGTGGTGAAGATGCCGGCGCGGGATCGCCGTTCCACAGGAAATGTTGTCGGCCTCCGCGCCCGAACAGATGGGGATCCGGGGGCAGCGCACCGGTCATTGGAGCGAGCGCGCAGTTTTTTCTCTTCGCCAACCGTCGTCGAGCCTCCAATGGGCCCGGGACGCGGCTTGCATGGCGTCGTTGACTCTTGACGAAGCTTCGGAAGGTTGACGCCAACAGATCATCGCTGATCCAGACGTGGTCGATTAACCCCGACGATGATGAGGCTGGATGTACAGCATGCCTGTAGGCATGTCTGCCGAAAGACATAAGGCAATCGACATGTGCGAGAAGGGAGGCTGAGCTTGAGTTTAGCCTGCTGAGATTGATTTGGGACAGCGGGCGGCGCGGGATTTTGATAGTGAAGGAACCTCTTGGCCGGTTAGACCGCGGGCCCGGAGATCGCAGCGCAGCGGATGAGTAATCACACAATCCTGATTCCTCATTCGTCGCCCCTGGTGATTGCACTCGCCCTTGATGAACGAGCAGAAGTACCACTGGATACATACAACCCTGACTCAGCCCAGAAAATTGTTGCATTTTGGCATGATTGTAAACCCAAAAGTCTTCTTCTACTTTCCTAGAGCTGTGGCCATCCATTCTGGTGTCGTATCTGCTTTTTGAGTACGCCGGATAAGTACGAATGACAATCGAGGCTACCTGCTAAGAACTCCCCAGGTTAGACTAACACTATAAGCCAACACCGTCTTTTCCTACAGTCAGATACTGCGCCATGCACTACTCGTAAGTGATAGTATGACATGTAGATGTCTATATATGTACAGGAAGTGAGTTGACCAAGACACGCCTCCCAATGCACCAAAATCTGTGCCGCAGTGGTATCGTATGCCATACGCTCGTCAGCCAGCGCCAGCTAACACATAAAAAAAGGAATAAAAAGGAACCAATATGTCACAGGGAAGAAACGTAAGCCAATGATATGTGAAGCTTCATGCCGCTAGTAGTGGTAAAGGCAGACCAGAACCAAATCAGCCAGTGAGTGGTTTTCTGCCTGTCACTGCATAGAACTCGTAGTAGGCGTGGACGTTGCGATTTTGAATGCTTTTCCGAACATCGACCAGGAACACTTCGATCTCGGGCTTCGACCACCCCAGTATGGCGAGCGGCTTGTAAGACCATCCCGCGACCGCTTCCAGCAGGTTTGTCTCGCTCCAGGCCCCGATCTTCCTCAGGTGTGGATCGGATGACCACGGATTCACAGGAACCATAGCCCGATGTTCCTGCACGTCTTCGAACCCGACTTCTCGCATCCAGCGTGCGAGGCGATGGGCCACTCGGAATTGTCGGGGCGGGTCCGAGACCTGGCCGGAGCGGTGGTGCAGGTCCATGAGATCTTGGAGGGCATAGTCGCTGAACTTGTCAGGGTCCTCGGGAGGCATCGTACCGTCGTCGCATTTGAGCCGGGAGTCGAACTCGTGGCATTCCATATAGCCGCCCGGCTTGAGGTGCTTGTGTGTTTTCTTCAGCAGATCCTTGTACGACGGTAGAGATCCTATCAGATGCCCCGTGTGGATGAAGTCGAAGTAATTCGGGTCCCACAGCCAGTCCTCCTCCGTGGCATCGTCGACGAGGAAGTGAACATTCTCAGGGACTTCAAGTGGCTGAACGGGCGAGAGATCGGTTCCTGTGATCTCGGCTTCTGGGAAGTCGGATGCTACGGGCGAGACGCGGCAACCATGTGAGTTGATCGATCGGATGACAGGTAAGAAGGGGAAATCTGGAGGGGAAATCCTTACCAATCTCGATAGGCCATATACCAGAACCAGTACCAATGTCGAGGATCCGTTTTGGGCGTTGGACAGGTGCGAAGTACAAGCGCCCGTGGTTGACTAGTTTGAGCATGTGGTGTTGCATATCCATCCGATCTAGTTCCTGTTCATCGTTCGGGTACAAGTATGCTGGGGGAATGCTGTTAGATGGGGTCCGTGTGATTGATCCTTTGCAAACGTACATCCTTCATGGTATTTATGGTATCGTCTTCCATGCTCCATAGGATAATCCGTTACGCTTGCTGTTAACGACTGTGTCTCGCTGCCATAGTCAGTCAACATCGGTATAGACTTATGGAAAATAGAACCCCGAGAAGTTCAATCGACTGTCATTGAGTTGCAAAATATGAAATGGGACTTACTCATCACGATTTGATGCCTGTGCCATTGTTCGTTAGTAGAGGCTCGATGGATTCGGTTTGGGGGCGGGCAAAGTGTAGGTGGCGACTTGACGAGAAAGCAGGTGCGTCAAGGCAAATAGCAACAACAAGGACCACAACGGCAACAAGGGAATGAAGTAGGGTTTCTTTTTCCACATAGAGCTAGAGGGAAAGATATGCTTACGGCCGACCTTGTACCAGCCATTGTCGTGGCAGACTTAAGGAACAAGACTTTTAGGGGCCAGGTCTCGAGTGGGGTGAACTTGGTAGTAGTAGGAGTAGTAGTAGGAGTAGTACTAATAGTAAAAGTAGTTCGCATCCAAGTCTTGGGCTCGGTAAATGTTTCTCAGATGATAATCAATCAAGGTGAGGAGTGACGACAATCACGCCTCCCTCTCCAGCACTTAGCCATAAAGTTTCTTACGAGAGAAATTTGGGCAACAATGTGGTGGACGATGGCGAGGAGGGAATTACGAATTGTCTGATGTTGTACCGATATAAAGACTTGCAAATCTGGAAGTTAGGATCTAGGGACCTTAGCCAGATCTGGAGAACTGCTAGGCAGTATTTTAAGTTTTCTAATTTTGATTAGCTACCGGCCACAGCCTTCTTCTCCCTTAGATGACATTAGCTAGCTAAGCAGAGGACGAGAAGGGAGGGGGGGCAGTGATGGACAAGGTAGTAGGAGACATCGGCTGTCTTTTCCTCTTCTCCTGGTAACCTGGACTGACCCGGCAGCCTGGAATAAGTTTGACTTAATGAGGAAGAGGAGGGGGGAAAGGATTCGTCTCCTGATGTATAACTTAATTTGACAGGATTAAAACGGATGCCAATAAAAATGATAATTCAAAGTCATAACAATTAATGATGGTAACACTCCTGTTCATAGAGAACAATATTATAGCCCCATCAAATACGTGGTTTTTCAGGCCTGATAACTAACTTCCAACAGGAGGTTACTTCCTGTCATCTTCTGGTTTCTGGTATGTATGTACTGTGCATACAATGCTGTACTTACCACAAGTTAGTGCTCTCAGCAAGGCCCCTCATCCCGGAGGACGGGGCGTTATTACGCTCCAGTTACCGCTGCGGCCCTGCGAACCAAGTGGGCGGTTCGGGCGGCGGGACAAACAAGCCCAGCAACCCAGATGCATGCAAAGCCCCATCAAGAACTTGCCGGTCATTATTCAAAACATAATTTTTTGGGTTTTCTAAATTTGACTAAATTTGACTAATTTGACTAATTTGACTGATTTAGTACCCCGTGCTGTGCTGTGCCTATACTACCTTGAATGGTGAAAGGCACGATGGACATACGTACTCGTACTTTCTATTAGTCTCGCTCTGGATTTCCTCCGCACTTACTACAACGTATTTACGGATAATTATCTAGTGGCTTGCAGCTGTAGTAGGAGGAAACCGGAAATCCCCCTTCCCAGATATCTAACAGTAGAGCCGAGAGTAGGGCCGGGAGGGGCGGACAGAGAGAGAAGAAAATTTACAAATGAGGAAACAGAGCATAAGAACAGATGAGGGAATCGAGAAAAACTGGGACAAGAAAAAGAAAAAAAAAAGATAAAAGAAAACAAAAAAAAAAAGACCAAGTGTGTCTCCGCTCACCCTGAAGCAAGACAAACTGAAAGAGAGTGGAACCCAAGACATTGAGCCTCGGAGGAGAGAACAGAGAAGAAATTCCGCCTTGCCCGGAGAGATGATAAAAGACCGAGCTTCGAAGTTGCTCACTTCACGGGGAGGGGGAACCTCGAATTAGTCCCAAGCTTATTGCAGGGATCCCTGGATCGTTGGGACAGATATAGGCATTCCTCCTAGAATCCTTGGTTCGGGTCCGACGTCGCTTAAGGACCAGGATCATGCCATGGTAGAGTTTACGCGGAGCAATTGCTAAGAGTGGGAGTGTTCACTAGTTAGTAGTAGCAGAGAGGGAGGGGTAAAAGGAGGAATTGAAGAGGAGCTCAAACTGAACAAGTTCATTATATCTGTCGAACATCCCCCACAGCTCTTTTCTGTGTTTACTGTTTGGTTTGACAGTCCTTATATGTGGCTTGTCTTATCCTTATTTCTTTTTACTATTGCACTACTCATCGGTACTCAAGCACTAAGTAGCCGGTAGAAGAACATCAAGCTAAAAGCGCACGGGCGTCCCAGCCTGTCGGGTGCGTCCTGCAATGGGGTATGTACAGTACATACATAGTAGTACGTACATGGATGGTATTGTTACTCACGATGACAATCGTTGTGGAGAAAAAGGCTCATTACACTATAGATTAGACTCGCTAATCAGAGAGAGAAGGAGGGAATTGAAAGGGGTTCTCTCATCTACCCTAGCTGAAATTTTGGCCCAATAGCGCAACAGAGATATACCCGACATCTGCAACCCGATACGGAGATTTATTTACTAGTACTGAGACAGTGGCAGTCTGTCAGTTTGTTCAAAGCTGCAGTGACGCATTGTCTTATCACAACACCAGAAATCTCCGCATCCATCAGAAGGGAAAGGAAAGAAAAAGAGATAGGACGGGTATTGTACTTCGGAGTAAGGCAACAAGCTGTAGAGGGGTGCTTGTACGACACTGGGAGACAATCAAGGGTGCTGGGGGGTAGGTTTGTGGAAGATCTTCAGCAAAACTACCCGGGATCCAATGGCTGTTGGTGCCACACGGCTGGAAAGTCCCATCCTTGGATCGCTCCCACATTATCCGACTGGGCTAACTACTGAACACTAAGTTACCTCTCACTAATAAGGCCTGTTGCGCGTATGCAGGCTGCATGATCCTCGTAAGACCACCTCTGCGTAATTTTTCCACGACGCGACCAAAAGTTTAATAGATGAGAAACGTCTGACTGTAGGCTTAGGCCCGGCAAAGCCAGACTGGGAGAGCAGGAGAGTGAAGCGACTAGACTTGGCTAGTCTTACGACCTGCGCTTCCGTGTCTGACAATCCTCTTCACCACCCCGCTTAGTCAAAAACTTCTGCATTTTGGAAGAAAAAAATCTAGTTCATTTTGAACATGAGCATCCGAAGACACGGCCTTCCCGCTCTTTTACAGTACACTGGCCGAAATGGATAGGAGGCACGGAACTACCGCCGTATCCAGTCTGTCGGATCCTGGCTGTCGGATCCTAGCTGACCCACACAGTCTGGTGGAATCGCAAGCATCGCATCCTTCGAGTGGCCTCCCTCGCCAGCTCCGTGTTGATGCCTCCACTATTTCAAATTCAAAGGTCAAACTCCACTTGCGGTTATGCCGGGAAGCTCCCGCACGCATCTGGACGCGAAAGCTAATCGTCGTTCACCCTTACCCTGAACCGGTTCCAATGGAGTTTGCTCGTCGTCAACCCTGTGGGAAGCTTGCGGCGACACAAGAGTCGAGGTAGCAGGAATTGGCGAGATAAGATACACAGCCTATAACTCCGTAGCTTTCAGAGGCATGAGGCATGAGGCATGACACTGCAAAGTACTAGATGGTAAATCGGCTGTTAGCCTTTGTACAGCAGACAATGTTGCACATACGCAGTTGTGCGTACTGTACATGAGCACACACCTGAAGCAGAGTATCACCGGGCTTGTCTCGGCCGGCTTTCATGCCTAAGTTAGTGCTGATTTCCAACATCGTACGACAGTCGCATAAAATCTGAGTTAAATTTCTGGTCATTCTTTCAGGATTCTCGGGCCTTCCCAGCGGACACGGTGCGTTTCCACCGCGCATACAGGATGCATCTGCGGGGCGGCGATCCAGTTTTTTGAACAGCCGATGGAGACGGGGAGGAGGTAAATAGAGCACGTTAGGGTATGTACAGTACAGTACACAGGACACAGGTACTCATGCGGTGACAATGCGTACAATGGGATTCTGGTCATGTTACGCACAATGCAGCCTCCACGTTGCTTGTCACAGTCCATATGCACTTCTTGGGGATGGCTGTTTGGGGATGGCCGTTGGTTAAGTGAAATTTTGGACCATAGTCCAGGAGGCACTTTTCCCGGCAACAAATTCTGTGGAAACGGTGTCATGCATCCCACTTACTGCCTGGTTGCTGCCAAGAGAGAGCTTGTACGGAGTAGCATAGTTTGAGTCACTGCAAATGGTGGTGGATCATCGAGGTAAATCTATTTCCGTTTCCGGATCCGAGCAGACGAACCCCCAAGTACAAACTTCGGGCCTTGAGTACCTCGTTACCATAGTACTGCAATGGCCGGTCAAGCATTTTTTTTTCTTTTCAATACGTACCAAGATCTAGTCTAGACCATAATTTGCCGATCTACGAATCAGATCCCATGATTCACTGTCTTTTTCACAGTCAATCGTCAGAGTACCTCGCGGAAGTGAACATGACACAGTTTAAACTATAGCAGCTTATCAAACGACCCAACGTGAGCAGTGAAAGAAAATTTCATTGGAAGTGCTGACTCCTCACTTGTAAAGATTTGAAACTGTATGTATATGAGCTGAGTGAGCCTGTGGTGTTCATGGGAGGGGGTTAGAACACTCAGCTCAGGCTCAAAGTCGTTACTTCCCGATTCCGAGAGTGCCCCCATCTCCGACCCAGGACTTAGACTACGGGGCTTTGCATCTTCGTCGACCATGAACTGAGGGACATCACATGAAGCTAAGGCTACAAAAGCTCTATGTTCATCGTGGTGGATACCTCTCGCTTTTAGTCGACTTCAATGATGAGTAACGAGGCAAGGAAAGTCTCCGGGTGTCAGATCTAGAACTCCATAACCCGCCTGACATTTGATCGGCTTCATCATGGATCTTTTAGAGTCCTGCCTAATCCAGGTGCATTGACTCGTATAGGTATGGCGGGGTAAGGTAGGCAAAGTGACAACTGTCAATACCAGTCCTGTGAAGGCAGCCTAGTTGGCGTACCCCATCGGACGGAGCTTAGGCGAAGTTAATCTGGAATCATGGATGACAGAGACCAACTGCCATCTTGCTCGAACAAATTCAAGTGATGTCACATCTACTCCTTATAAGGCAACTTGTGTCAGTGTGACAGTCACTGTGCGGAGATAGATATCTTTGTCATGAATGCTGGTCACGCGAAGCGGTGATGTTATTTGGCAAGAACCAGAATGATGTGAGTGCGTTTGATAGGATAGGCGGGTAGATTGCACCACAACCCTGAGCCCTTCAGGCGGAGGGAGCAAGGAGGCCGTCGGCAAGACAAGGGAGAGCAGGGAAATGGAAGAAGGAACTTGCACGCTGGTCATGGCAACAATCGCTTGAGTGAGAGAGACTTTCGGGATTTGAAAGGCCCCTAGGTCCCAAAAAAAAGCACTCTCTAGCTTGCAATGCTTTATTTGCCAACCCTACTACTGGTCTCACTAATGCTTAGAATAGTATAGCAAGTGACCGGCCGGAAAGCTACTGCACCATGAGAGCATAGCCATCAGGGAAAGGACAAGTCACCGCAACGGCTCCTAGATCCCTGTCTTGGGACTCTTCTTCGCCAATGAGCAGCCAAAATAGTGTTGATAGCGCGTGGGTCTTAATGCTGCATAGAGCTCGGCTCGTTGTTCCTGCCCGATAGTCTACTAAGGCAGACCATCCGACAGTCCGACTCCTCGCAACTGGGTCAAGCACAAGGGGAATGGGGCCGGTTCCAGATAAAACAACGGGACACTAGACTAAAGGGAAAATTTAGATGATCTTCCACCAGAACCCCATGTTCGCAACCACTGTTCCAGCCTATGGCTGTCCTCGGCGTAGGGGAGGAAGCCGCTCGAAGTGATCCTCTTTCCCTCCCCAGGGTAGACACAACTCTGTTGATAGCTCCATCTCGCCTCATTTCCGACGCTTCGCCGACTGGCTCTTATGAACAAACGCATAGGATGGTTCCTATACGTATATGTACACAGTAAGTCCTGGGAGCCACAGTTATTTCAGCATCACTCAGCATGTCTAACCAATTTCTGCATCGAGGCAATTTCAAGACTGCATCCAGCAGTGGACAGCTTAAGAGCAACAAATAGATCAAGTGGAATTGCATCCTCGGAGACTTTTCCAAATGAAGGGGAAAATTGAACCCTTCCACGCATTGTGAATGTACTGACTGTGCCAGAAGCAGCTCAGTATGGAGGTCCCGCCCTAGACTTGACAAATACTAGACTAGTGACTGTTGCTGGCGAGGTTGACGCACATCCGTCCTGATCGGGGAAGATTGTCGAGGCTCAAGAGAACAATAGAAGAGCAAGGGCACTATGCCAAGAGTTAGTTCTCTAGCTTTTCACCACCATGATGCACAAAAGAGGCTTTGCACGAATCAGGTGGGCCTCCACCATGCTCTTTGTACCACCTAATCACTTCCTCCTCCGCATGAAAGGGCTATGTATGTGCGTATGTGTGTATTTGCAGGGGCTGTCCTTTGAGAGGGGCAGTGTAGAAAAGACAGGGCATCTAGGCATCTAGGCTTCTAGGCTTCTACCGAGAGCAGGGTTGCCTAAATCTCCCGGGAAAAGATGCCTGCCAACCCCTGCAAGACCAATACCACCAATATCACCTTTCCGTAGGCATGAGCCATCCCAGCCTGCCGGATCCCCACAGATTTTAGGACTCTAAAGACCTGCGCAGTCCTTTTGCTTATCTTCCGGTGGGAAACGTTGAATATACCATGTATGTGTGACGTACTGTATGCAATAACGTTACAGTTTGTATGTCACTAAAATCATACTATGAATGAATCAACAACTACCCCCCTCCTCCCCGCCACACACACTTATTATCAATTGCTCCCAATCCTTGCCTTGCATATGGCTATCTGCAATCATCTCGATACTGGAAGCTTCCACCATGTTATGGAAGGTAACCTACAATGACTCTCACCGAAAGGGGACTGAACGATAATCACTCGCGTTAATGGGCTTCTTCGCTCGCCTACACAGTTGGCCTCAGTAAGTCATCATGCACCGACAAATCAAGTTCATATTGCACATGCGGCCTGCTTAACTTGAAACATGAAAGATGGGGTCAATGCTTTCTTACTCCCTCGACAACCAATTTGGAACGGGCCAGAGTGTCCCCGATCCCAATCATCACTGCGTGCATGGCCCTATTCTACCAACTGTACGCTATCGTGAGCTCCTACTAGGTACAATAGGTCTATACCCAAATTCGGTGGATATTCTAAAGCAACAATAACCTTCCGCCAAATACATGGGAAACGCTTCTCAAGGCCTCAAGTCTCCATCCGAGCAGGAAAGCGACAAGTCAACCACTCACTGCTTTTCACAGGGTCTACTCCCTTGTCAAGTTGCTGATCGGAGCTGCAACCGAGCTTTTGGTCTGGTAGTTCCTCATGTATGTGTCTCGAAGTGGCAATCGATTACATCGCTGTTCTTCATACCATCGCCACCCCTCCACGTTCCGCCCACAGGGGGTGCCTGGGTGCTTGTGGTTTATTACATAGTAATTGTAGCCATTGAAAACCCTCTCTATGCCACATGGGCTCTTCGATAATGGAGTCCCAACGTCGTATGACGTCAAACATTAATCTATCAATTGCCCATGTGCTTAGTAGCCTGCTTGGTTGTGCTGCGGTCGGTCTTAGTTGCGCTGCTGGTCTTCCAGCCATCAGATACTCTAGTATACGACTCTGGGACAGGGGACGATGTATATTGTCAGGAAAGTTGCTTATTCGATGTACTGCACGGAGTACAGGGCTTGTATGTCTTTTCTCCTGGGGCAGGAGTTCTTCATGTTCTTGTCTTACTTTAATTATTTGTGCCAAGATTTAGTGGTCTTATAATCTTATCATATCGTGATATATCTCGTAACCAGGTTATTTAAGGGGTTTGAGATTGTCTGACAGTCAGCTAGTACTTGGTTATTGAGATGTAATGGTGACTGAAAAAATTCTTCTGTTGAACCTACTTCGAGGCTCTGAGAGTGGTATCGTATCGTCTGTAGAACACACGCTAGGCAGGGTTCTCCAGCTGCGTAGCAGATACGTCCCCAATGCTTCTATCACCCAACACCACAACCTACACCCACGAATATCCGCTCTACTACATCTCAAAAAAGGACAAAAAAAGGCACAATTTCATTACTAAACCTACTCCAACATTCCTCCCCGTACAACAATCCCCCTCCACTCCACCAACCAAAACAAAGATCCAATTATCACTTTTCGAGATCTTCGAAAACCACTCGCATCGCAATCAAGTAGACAACACCCTCTCCACGGAGGACATAATATCCTCCATCGGCTGCATCTTATCGGTCCTATCAACAAGAACAACAACGCGTCAGCACAACCAAAACCCCCCTCCTTACATCAGAGAAACGACACAGAGATTGAACATACCGTGTTGCGATGCGGATATCCGTCTGGATCCTGCCCACCCCCTCGTTGTGGATCATGGTGTGAGCGCATCCGATGGTCTGCGACACTTGGTCCCACGTTCCCTCTGCAGATATTCCAGCCTCATCGTCAGGGGTCTTCGCTTCTTGACAGAGGTTTTATAGGGCCATTGTTGGGAGGTTGGACTCACCCACGGTAGTGCCGGTGGCGTGCATCTGGGACTTGAGGCCGGTGTTCTGGATCAGACGCTGGATCTCGGCGACTTGCTTGGAGAAGGAGACGTCTTTGGAGCCGATCTAGTAGTTGGTTGGGGTGAGTACTCTGTTCTAATGGGTGTTGTTATGGGTGGGTTCGAAGTAAAAATTGAGGGAGTCGTAGGTGTGAAGTAGTACGTACGGGGATAAGCGAGAAGTCTGCGGTGCAGTACTCCGGGGTGGCCAAGGGCGGGTTCTGGAAGACCATTTTGATTTGCGTTGGTTGGTTGTTTTGTGCTAGCTGACCTGTCTCTTGCTTAGGAACTATGAAGGGCAAGGTGATTTGTCTCCTACGATTTGGGGGGAATGGTCTCTGGCGCTCTGATATATCCTACACAAGAGGATGGGAATCACATGCTATGAATTCACTATGAGGAGAAACCCTTCAGTGGCCCGGCCTTGTTCGTCCTAGTAGTACGTCTCGTCGACGGTTCTACCCCGCCTTTGCAGGGGCTCGCTACCAGGGACGTAGATATCTCGGAACAGCACGTCCAGCCGTGGCTCTGGGGCAGGCATATGATCTGCCTCTTCCGCCTCGCGGTCGACCTTGCTGCGAACCTCCTTCTCCGTCGCCTTTGCGTCCTCCTCTGAGAATACACCCCATTCTATCATTTGACCCTTGAGGACGGAGATAGGGTCGTGATGCCGCTCCGCCTGGATCTCATCTCGGGACCGGTATGTCGTGCCTGGATCCGACACGGAATGTCCGGCATACCGGTAGGTCTGGTACTCGTACAGCAACGGTCCGTTGCCCGCTTGGACGAATGCCTTACCGTAACGCATCGCAGCCAGCACCGCGAGGACATCCATCCCGTTGATGCGCAGGCCGGGGATATACTGGCCGCGCTTATAGAAGTCCGTCATGGCAGATGACCTCTGCACGGAGGTGCCCATTCCATATTTATTGTCTGAGGTTGGCCTTTAGCGTTACGTCGGAACAGTGGAAACTTGAAGTCCCGCCAAGACGGGAAATTGCAAAGAAGAGTGTGCGAAACAACTTACTCTCACAGCAGAAGATGATGGGCAGATCCCACAGCTTCGCCAGGTTATAGGCCTCATGGACTTGGCCCTGGTTTGCCGCACCGTCGCCAAAGATATTGACGGTTACGCTATCTCGATTGCTGTACTGCTGGGCGAATGCGATTCCCGCGCCAACCGGAACATGCGATCCCACAATGCCATTTCCGCCGAAGAAGTTCTCCCGGAACATATGGATGGAGCCCCCTTTCCCGTGGGAGATGCCATCTTGGCGTCCTAGCAGCTCCCCGAGAATAGACTTGACGGTGGCGCCGCGCATCAAGGTGGTTCCGTGGGAGCGGTAGGCGGTGATGAGCTTGTCGTCCCTGGAAATTCCATGTTCAACCCCGACTGCCACGGCTTCCTGGCCTATGGAGAGATGACAGAAACCACGGACTTTTCCTTCCTTGTATAATTTGTCGGCTGCCAGCTCCATGCGCCTGCGGGGGAAAATTGTTAGTATGTGCCTCTGGGTTGGTTGTGTCGTGTTTTTTTTTTGGAACTCAGTACGAAGAGCCAAACTGACCTGATCATGAACATGTCATGGTATAGTTGTTTGAGCTGTCGTTTCGTTGTTTCCAGTGTGTATGGAGGTGCCTCGAGGTTGTATGCTTCGTAGCTTTCTTCTGCGATCGGGACCTTGAATGGTTTGTCATCGTCCTATATAGATTAGGATGATCAGGAGTGATCTACGAAGACGACTTCAACGCTGATTCTTTACGCACCGTCGGTAATTCAGCGATATCGGCGACGTGTGCCATACATCGCCGGTCAGAGTAGCATAGCCGCTTCCACGGAGGCGGTGCCTTGAACTTCAGAGATCGTGACAGCATTCTCGCTTAAAGGGACGACTCGACGGTCTAGATCGCTCGAATTAGTCGGTACCCAGTATTCACGATGCTGGCTTTAATTTGTGGCTGAGCGCTGTCGATTTCTGTGGTCGTCCACCCTCATTTAAAGTCTTCCTCGTAGTTTGCGGAGGACTATCATGCTCGGGAGGAACGTATCTGTGACGCAATGCATGATTAAAGCTTGCACCTGCTACTGTAGCTCTGCACTCTGCCAGTGGCCGAGCCTGTGGAGAAAAAGAGACGTAGATGTGTTCCAAGCACCCAATGGCTTTTGACCCTTGGATATATGTAAGAATTCCGTGGACGGGTTTTGACACTTTACCGGGGTCGTTGTATACATTCAAAACCTTAGGAACAGAGAGTAAGTATATCACTTTTGACAGCTAGATCATTATTTTCCTGGAACTGCGACTCATTCTCACAAATTTGAGCCCCTTGCGAATCGAGCACAGTCTATCAACATGTTGGATGACAAGAAGTTGGGATACATCATTGCACAGCAGGAGCGATGACGAAGGATGAGTGCCTCGGTGCCTGCGGGTGTGCACAGACCACGTTCAAAGAACGGCTCCGACGCGCGACGCGATTTGCCTCAACAGGGAAATCAATTGAACACCAGCCCAGCTTACCAGCATCAGGCGCCCGGTCGACAAAACCAACTTGGAAGACTGCGACACTTTCTCCTATGGCTCACTGTGACTCTTCAAATCGATCCTACCGTCCTATTCTGCGATGAACCAAGGGGAGAAAAACACTGTTTCCACCGCCCAGACGAGTCACCGCCCATCCTTCCAAACGCCGGAAAGGCCTTCTGCGGGTGCACGCCGTTCGACTAGTATAGCGAATGCAGCCAAGGGCCAGTCCTGGTGCGACCCGCCGGCGTCTTCTTCGTTCTCTGCAAGGTCATCGTCCAAGCGGAACCATGTCCCTAGCACGTTAGATCAAACCACCCTCACGCAGATCGACTTTGTGACGCCCACACCCCCGCCCGCCCGATCAGATGAAAGCCCCCAGTACCTCAATGAGAAGCAACCGCAACCGGGCCGGAAAGCCGATCATGAAGTGATAGAACTCGATGACGATTTGAACAACGATGACGATTATCGGCCGCCATCTAGTCGCCAGCCTCGCCGAGCCCGTGGGGTCAGGTTCGAACAAGGGCCGAGCGGCACGTCGACCGGACCCTCGACGTCCAGCCGTCCGCGCGAAGTAGACTCCAAGTCGAAGCGCAGGAAGAGTGGCGGGGGCGTCAAGGGCAACAAACTAGACAAGGATGCAAAAAAGGGAAACAAGACGTTGACACAGATGGACTACGTGCGGCGCTATCTGAAGATAGAGCCGGACGATGAGGTGAAGTTGGAATACACTTATACCACGCCAAAGAAGAGCGACAGGAAGCAAGCAAATCGGCGCGCTTCGGGTACTCTGGCCCCGCATTCGGACCACTTCTCCGAGCAAGAGGCCTCAAGCGGAGGCAAGAAACGGAAACTGAGCATCGCTGCTGATACGAAGGTCAAATCGGAAAATGAGAAGGAAAATTACCCTCTAGACCCTGGCTCCGTTACCCCTCGGGCAAAGCGGGAGCTAGAGATACCGTCGTCTCAGTCGCCTGAAAGCTCGGGTATCGCATTCATCACATCGTCGCAATTCCGTACTGCGACTCATTCGCCGTTCAAGCGCGACGCTGTCGACACTGCAGGCCAGTTTATAAAGCAAGAATCGCCCCTGTTGCAACGCATCAAAGAAGCATCTCATAGCCCACCGAGCGAAGATCCAGAATCTAATGAATCCCAGCCTGCCGCTTTGGTTCCAGACTCGCCACTACCGCGCAATTCCGTGAGTGATCAAGGCAGTATTGCTCTATTTTCTGAGCACGTGAAGTCGGAGGAATCCAGTGAGCAGCAGAGAATTAGTGCACATGTTCCTAATACTCAGAGAACCGTGGTATATGAGACAGACGCGGAAACAGACTACGGTGACCTGGAAGATGATTTGCCTAACACCATCGAATCACCTCGACAGAGGAAGGTACCGCATTACGACCCCGGTGCAGCCAATCTCGAGCATGAAGATGCCACAGAAGAGAGCTCACAAGCTCTTCCTCCAATCGCTCCTTCGGAGATGGAAGAAGAGTCGGGGCAGCTGCATCTAGATGATAATCTCACTTCAGATGCATCATCAATATACTATCAAAGAATCCAGCCAGCCACTCAGTTTCCCCTTGGACCAGTGCCAAATCTGAACACACAGAGACTGGCCGAGCTATTTCCGGATGAATGCAACGATGAAAGCATCGCTACCATGTCATTGACAGAGCCATCTACTAAAACTCTCAAACGCATGACTGTTGCATCCGAGACCCAATCTTTGGATTCCGAGACGCGCATAGATTCGGATCAGACATTGACTGAACTTGTTCCGGAGTCTTCGCCAATTGTACGACATGACGATGGCGGAAGCGTCAATTTCCGGACGCCCGCCCACCGTCTTGCTTCGCGAGATATAGTGCAAGTCGAGTCTTCACAGCCAGCAGACAGGCATCGTAATCGATCCCAGAATCAAGATGACTCGGGTCCTCGCGGCTTGATCAGAAGAAGTGACCTACTCACCTCAAGCGTGATGGAAAGCATTCCACTGCCGGTGTTCTTGATGGATAGCCAGGACACAGTTGGAGAACCCTACAGCTCTCCCAAAGGGTCGTAATATCCGAGGGCTGAAGATACCTGAGTATATGATACATAATGATACGAATACATGAATGACGAGCAATTTCTACATCTTTACTACATACGACACTGCACTTGTACCTCTTTCATCGCAGCTGTAGACTAACTACCTAGTATGTAAACTAGACCCTGAAACTACGTGGGGGCGGTCGGGCCGTTGTAACCCCGGGAACCGAACCGCCCGACCGCCCGCCATTGACCCGCCGCTCCGTCATTTGATCTCCCAACTCCAACTCCAACTCCAACCCGCTCGTGATCTCCAACTGACAGAGATGGATGTAGCGTACGACCACATCCAGGAGGAGATCTTCTCCTCCAACGACGCCTCGAAGAAGGAAACCGACCCGAACGAGCCCGCCCAGACGGACCGCTCCAACGTCGATCTTAACGCCGAGCTCCAAGAAACCTTCCGCGCCTTTTCCGCCAGCCCCTGGGGTGCACGCATCGGTGGACTCTGGGATAATGTCCGCAAGCAGGGCGAGAGCTATTACGAGGGGGCCCGGCAAGAGTATGCGGCTGCCAGCGAGGAGGCCGCCAAGGGCCTTTCTGACCTGCGGAGCAGTCTCGTCGGGCGCACGCGGGGTCTCTCCCTGAGCACGGCGTTCAGCTCAGGG